TCTCCTATGAAAACAGACTCTTGACAGAGAGATTGGAGTTGTTCAGCCTGGGGAAGAGAGAGGGAGACCTTAGAGCACCTAAAGCAGACTACAGGAGAACTAGACAGGGACAGTGTACAAGGGCATGTAGTGACAGAACAAGGTGGAATGACTTCAAATTGGAAGAGGGCAAGTGTAGCTATTACAGAGAATTTCTTTGCTGTGAGGGTGGTGAGGCACTGGAACAGGTTGCCCAGCAAAACTATGGATGGCCCATCCCTGGAAGTGCTCAAGGCCAGGCTAGATAGAGCTCTGAGCAACCTCGTCTAGTGCAAAGTGCCCTGTCCCTGCCCATGGCAGGGGGTTGGAACCAAGTGGTCTTTGGGGTCCCTTCCAACACAAACCGTTCCATGATTCTAACTCAAAACCACAAAACCAGTTCTTCAGATCTGGAAGACAGTAATGCACAATCTTGAAGAAACAGGTGTCAAGAAGACAGAGGAGCTAGAAGCTATTTAGCCTAATTCCAATTCATAGAAAAAACAACTACCGACTACCTAGAAAATAAGATAGTAAGAACTTATAAACATGGTCATATTTTAAAAAAAACAGAAACAATCAAGTCAAACTAACCTTTGTTACTATGACTGGATAAACTTGTTCAGAGGACTGGCAGACATCTTGACATTTGACATTTCCATTATATTCTAAAAACTGTTATAGAAACATGGTAAGCACAGTTTTGTCTGTGCTCACATAACTATCTAATTTTAAGGCAGGCAGCAAGGATCCTTGCTTTGAAGGCAGTATATCCTCATAAAACCCCCAGGTATCACAATACTGCAGGTCCATTACAGGAAAGGATCAAAATTAACAAGATCTTGAAACTGGAGAGGGGGTCTGACTGCAAAGGATGTAATTCAGATTAAACAAAAGTATGAACTACACTCACATACATATTTAATGAACTGCATAAACCTGAAAAAGGGAGTGACTCAATTAGCAGGAGCTGCTGCTACAGCAGATCACAAACTGCTCTGAAAAAGGAAGAAATAGATATAAGCAATATTTTGCAAGACACAGCAATCTTCTCATAGTCTTTGACATCAATACACCAGGCAGCCACTGTCAATTTTTAGTACTGCATATTAAGAAAAAAAAATGGATGACTGAATTGAACATAATGGGAGAACACTAAAGACTAATAAGAGTATAAACATGCAATCACAGACTGAAATAACTCAAATTACTTGATCTAGGGAGAGGGGGAAAAAAGGAGCTTTTAAGCAATCTTCAAATAAAAAGAAAACTGAATGAAAAAGATAAATTGTTTGCCTTGTCCACTGAAAATCAGAATAAAAGGATAAGCGGTCAAACAAGGAAAAAAATTATTTTACAACGGATTTCTTTGGAAAGAGTGGAACCACGTTGAGATCTCCTGCTAACACATCAGACAAGGACTTGTCAAATATAGCTTTAAAACAGTCCATCCTGTTTTGCAGCAGAGGAATTGTATGTTTGTTGAATTTGCTGTGCAGCATTTTAATTCATCTGTACTAAGAAGTTGCCTCTGATGCAAGACAGTAAAATCAATGCACTAAGCATTGTTCCTGTTAAACATCAACTGTGAGCTTTGGGGTTTCAGCACAGCAATAAGAACTTACACTTGCCCAACACGAAGAAAAAATATCAAGTTCAAAATATTAACATTTGTCTCAAAAGCACTAAATAGCTTAAGTGAAGTGATGTAAGCTGCAAGTAGGTGGCAAAAGCTGATTATTTATGTTCTTCAAAATCCTCATAAGAACCTGACAAGACTCATGGCTATTGGATAACTGATGCAGCTGTTGCCAGCTACACAAATAGAGCTCAGGGAAGATGGAGCTACAAGACAGCTTTTCACCACCTGAAGGACTGACTTATTGGCTACAAGGATATCCAGACTAATTTCATTTTGCCCAGTTACAGAAACTGTCTGACTGAGCCTTCCAGTCAGTTCAGAAAGAGCTATTCCACTAACACAAAAAAATTTTAAGGACTACTCAGGCATAGGCCAAATCTGGATGAAGAAAAACTCCCCAGTTCCTCTCCTTGCAAAACTTAAAGGCCAATTCTCATTAGAAAGAATCAGTTTCAAAACTCCCTCCTGCAGCTCACAAATCTGCGTCCCTTATTGTCTTCTAACAAGTAAAATTACAAAACAATTACAAAACTCCTATTTGACACAGGTGTATTGGGAAGCAAGCTGAAAGGAGTTAGCTTTCAACTCTAAAACTCTGAAAACCAAGTAAATTACTTGAGAGATGCAGACCTTCCATGTAAACTTAGGAGGACTCCAATTTGACCTCAGCAATTGAATTTACTGTGCAATATGCCTCTTGTCACAGAACTTGATGACTTGGAAATACGCATTACTTAAAATCAAAAAAATCCCAAACCCACATCTGTCACAAAACAGGAGGTGGAAGATTGAGTAGTAACAAAAGGATCGACTTGAAAAACAAAAATTGATAAAACACTCTATAATACCTTCCATTTCAGGCTCAATTCAACCTTCATTCTTCATTTTATAACACTTTTTTGATCTTTTTAAATACTTACATTTGTCAGATTGATTACATGTGCTTCATAAGCTCTGAGAAACCATCAAAGAACCTCTTGTACAAAAGTGAGCTTCATTTCAGTGTTTTAGTTAAAATTAGCATAAGAATACCCAAGTTTCTTAAAGCTGATGAAGTCCAAGATACATACTCAAAGCAGACTGGATAAAAATCAACTTCCTACTTAGACCCAAGAAAACAAATCCTTCCTCAACTAAGGCTATACAAAAACCTCTAGGCATTGCTCAGGCTGCTCAGGACAAGGAACACCATAGCACAAAGCTTGGGCAATGGACAAACAGAAAACTAAATACATTTAAAGGTTCATCAAAATACACTGCAACAAGATATTATAATCCATTTAAAAGATTCACAAAGAACTTAGTGAGACAGGATAATGTTCTCAATCTGCACAAAATGTAACGAGTCAAAAAGGAGAACAAAAAGCTAACAAAACATTTTAACTGTAGCAGACCATATGGGGGAAAAAAATAAAAATAAATAGCCAAAAGTAAAACAGAGATGAGAAAATCGTAAGGAAAAACAGAATCAATATCTAGGCAACCAAGATACTGACTTAAATATTCCAGGAAATAGGAATGCTGCACAGAACACAATGTTTGATGCTTGCCTGTACATGTTATTTATACACCATATACTCCATATTTAGCAAAAATACAAGGAGCCAAGTATTTTCTGTCAAGCAACCAAACTCAGAAGTGATAAAATGCCATGAAAACTGAGGAAAAAAATGAGGGAACACAAAGAAAAAGAAGATACCAGAACTAAACCTCTAGCCAAGTAAAGCACAGCTTAGACCACAGAGCTGATCAGTTGAATGCTGTAATAATACAGTTTGGCTTCTTTCATCTACCACAGACTCTCTTGGCTCCTCCTGCACTTACACAAAAATGGGGAATTATGGTTTCAACCCCAACGAACACAGGACTGGTTGAACTACAGATGTTGATGTTACCATTGTAATATCAATTTATCCTTTTAGTAAAATAATTCTATTATAATTCACAACAATAGAATTCTGGCTTTTCTTAACTACTTCTTTAGGGTAAGTACTAGCTCACAGATATGCCTGTGTTAATGCTACCCAAGACAACCAGTTGGATTTAAGGAACATACAAGGACAGATCCAGCTTTTCTCATATAAAATGGCTAAAGAGAGAGCAGCTCTGGAGAGCTGCCCATCATATGTTCTGTGATTTTTATTACTAATGATTCAGTTTACATACTCAAGAAAAACAGTGACTGTAGCTCACAGAATATTCATATTCCATGGCAGTAGACAATTTCTCAGCCAGCAAATGCTCTCTTGCAGCAACATTTTAGCTCTGCATATCCTTGTGGATAATACACATCTGAAATTTGTCAATATATGGAAGTGTTCTATGCAAATGCTTATGCAGTCAAAGGGGAAAAAAAAAAGGCACGTTCCTCATTAAAAAGATGACAGTGTAACTCACACTTGAACTCTAATTGTCTCAAAAGTGAAGACTAAAATAATTTAAAACTGATCCATACAACATCTAAGTTCACAAATATGGGAGTTAAAAGAGTAATTGTGAGATAATGCTGACATAATTAAAAACAGGATTGAGTTACTGTAGAAATTGTTTCAAACTCACTGTAGGGGCTTTTTTGCAATAACATCATCAAGGTGAAAATCAGACAGATTTTTTCCTGAAAGCCAGTGCTATAAATAATTTCTGTGCAACAGAAATGTACTTTCTACAGCAAGTCAATAGACAGCAGATGTGATGTTTAATCAGCAGCTGTTGTTAAGAGAGCATACAGTCATTTTTCTCCAAAAAAACTTAAATAAAAATATTCAAAAGTTGCCAGTCAATCTATCATTTAACCTAAGAGCATTCCAGAGAATTTAGCCAAGTGAGGAGAAATGCAAAGGTTTAAGGATCAAATCAGTAGCCACATTAACCCCCAAGTGCTTCTTTAAGGATGCATTTAGAAAACCCAAACTACAAATGCAGCTAATTTATGTGCATTATGCGAGTTTTTACGTATAACATTATATTAATGCATTTCAGTTTTATAACAAAGTTCATATAGATAAACTAGTCTTCAGAAAGCCACAGCTAAACCATTTTTACCCTCCAAAATTCCTGGTTAATCTTCAGCTACTGAAGCAAATCCAATGAAACCTACACACACAAGCATGCAAACACTTGCCCTCCCACCAAAAATCCAATTTGATGTCTCGGTTAACAATTTTACATCTCTTCTCATCTTCAATAATGCAGAACTGACTTATTAAAGAAATCCCTTGTTTCTAGTCTTCTTTGTCATCCACATAGCAGAGCTAATAGCAACTACTCTAAAAAAAAACCCCATTCACAGTTGTTTGAAACCATTATATGACTTTAGAAAGTAAAATGCATAACCTCTTACCTGAGCATGAAAATTTGACATAGTCGTTGTCTCTATATCTTTCTTTCCCAAAATCTCCATTTTCACTGGTGAATTGGGAAAATTAAACGAAAAGTAGTCTAAAAAGTCAGGTAAATAAGTAGCTGCCCCATGAACAATACCCATTACATAGTAAGCTGCACAGTTTTCATTTTCACTAAAAACCAGACCCACAAACTCTTCTGCAAATCTCTCCATCTCCACAGGAGACAAGTGGGAGAGTTCATTACTGTAGGCATGGATAACTGATGCACCTCCGTTAGGCTGGTGCTCAATATGAATCAGCTGTTTGAACTCCAATGTGTCCAACCTTTTGAGTTTATTTTGAACCCGTGGCTCCTTTAACGAGACAAATGGAAACTCACTGTTCTCTGGTATCTTGGACTCACAGTCCTTCTTGGGATCCATATTTTTCCCATTGAAATCCTTAAGATGATCATCTATGATGCCTTTGGTTTCCTGATCCTCAATATCAGAAACCAATCCTGAGCAGATGGTCTGAATAGATTTGCTGTACATTTTTGGACGCTTCCTCTTCTCGTTCTCTTTATGTTTCTTTTTCTTTTTCTTCTTAACTTTTTTAATCTGTAGCTCTTCTGCATTGGTTTTTGGTTTCTCCTTCCCACCTGTTGAGAGTTTAAAAAAAAGATCTCTTAAGGTTTTTTTTATACAAAATATGTATTTAAAGATTGGGATCCAAAGTCACCAAAACCCTCACACAAAGACCAGAGACCAAAAGCAAGGGTCACAATGTATATGTTACCAAATCTGAGGAGGGTAAGAGACATCTGCCATAGTCACATTGCAACTGCAAATAAGCTGAGACAACAAGGAAAATACATGACAATAACCCAAGTTTCCCAAGGCTGCTTTCAGGATGAGTTTCAGTCCATCATTCCCTTTAGCTGTGGGCATTAGCAGTTAATGTCCCATAAAGTCCAGAGATATCACAGGAAGGACAGCTGTCCAACACTGCCAAACAAGGGACTTACAAACCAGCCATGGGTAAGTGCTCACAGGAGTGAGCTGCCCACGAGATGCCACTGCCAAAACTGACCTTGTCTGATGGACTTCTTCACATGGTCATTCTTTCACAACTAGATAAACTTTGTTGAAGTAGTACATGTGGGAACATCTAAAAATTGATCCCATATATATCATAACATAAATAAAATTAAAACAAAAGACCCATTAAAGAAAACGCTCACAAAAAAGAAACTAGCTTCAAGTTCACACAATATACAAGCTGAAGTGAAAACAAACAGTCCTAAATGTCCAAAATGTCCTAAAGGCACTAATTACTTATTTGGGGATAACACATTCAAGTGATTCCCAAGGTAAATGTTCTCACTTGTTTTAAGCAAGTGAGAGGTGGTTTTTTGGTTTTTTTTTGCAAGTAATAGAAGTGGTAGCCAAAAAAACTTCTAGCACTACACTGCTCTAAGATCAAGCAGTCAAAATGATTTAGCACATAGTAAAACAAAGTTAGTGGGTATATTTCAGCACGAAGCTATATTCACACCAGCAATTCAAGATCAGCATATTCAAACACAGAAGCTTTGAAGTTTAAAAATTGTGTATTTCATTACAAGATTAAGTAATATGAAATCTGCAAGAGTTAAGTTAATGAGTCTCTATTTTACTATGTTGCAGTAGACTATTTTCAGCTTGCCATCCTCTACCCAAGTAACTTACAAGAGTCCTTTAAAAAAAAAACAAAACAGTGAGATCTTGGTGCATGGAATCACAAATTCTTGCTGATGATTAAGAGGCTGGACATGGAAGATGCAGATACTGTAATGGAGGTAAAGGACAACAAGCAATTAAGACGCTTGGCACTGAGTCTCTTGAGGTTTGTGATAGCAGCTAAATACTTCTGGGATTCCTCAAGTGGAGGTAGATTTAGTTATCTCTCTGGATTCTGTTTTCCCACAGAGAAGGGAAGGAGAAGTGCCCTGAGGTCACCTCATTTCTTATTTAGCCCAAACAAGGAAATAGATTCTAAGATTTCTTAACCTAATCCACACAGTTAATAACTACAAAGACTCCCCTCACTCACAATCTGATTTAACACAGCACACTCTCTGAACACAATTTCACTTTTACCTAAGTTCAACTGTCAAAAAGCAGAGTATCTTCATAGAAGTCTGTCCTTTCTTAGGCTAAATTTAATGTAAACCCAGCATCAAACCTCTGCAATAGGACTCCATCTTGTAGAGGCAATATTCACCACTTCTTTGTTAATATCCTCTTTCTGTCACCAGAGTCATTAAGTCTAGTGGGTATGAGAAGACCAGGAAGAGCAGCAACAGATGTTCAACAACTAAGTACCTCAACCTTAAAGGAATCCTGAAAATAGTTCGTTCAGGGTGGCAGGGTCCTTGCGTGTAATGTCATCACCTGACAAAAATCACCTACTGCTACATTCTGGGGGATTGTAATGGTGTTATTTTGGCACCAGCACCAGGCAGTGGGAAATAAAAACAAAGAAATGGTTTATGACAGTGGGAAGTTACCTACTGCAGGCTTTGAAATCTCAATACAAATCTCAATGCAGACCTCCTCCTGTCTGCAGGAATATATAATCAAAAGCATCCACAAGTATACAGGTATTGCAAACTCTTACAAATGCTTTAAGTTACCATTTTAAAATTGTTTCACTCTGAATATGAGAATTTTTGGCTATACTGATGGATATCATGAAGAAGCCAAGCATTCTGCAGATATTGTATTAGTTTAAATATAAAAACTTTGCAATTATAGCATCAAATGCTGGAGCAAGGTGATGCAGGAAGAAGCAGGAGTTACCTGCCCACCCACACTTCACTTGTTTTTAAATGGAGCTCAGATTTTTGTTGAAATTAGCCACTCAGATCTGAGACATAATGCATGGCAGGGAAAGAATGGAAATTTATATTTACTTGGGTTCAATCAAGGTAATATAAATGGCAACAAACGTCAAAACAAGAAGCTATTTGCTGCAGTAAAAGCGAAATTGGTCTCTCCTACTTGAGCATGTTTCTAACCATCAAAGAAAATCCTAAGACAATTGAAGATCAGCAGCATGTTCTTGCTGAACATCCAGCTATTAAATTACATTCCATCATTACTAGCTGAAATGTACTTACATAACAGATGGGTATGAATCTGTATTTCTGCAAAACAACAAAAACTACTGACTTCCATTCCTAAATTACAAGAAGGAAGATGATCTGATTTCCCCTTTCAATCTGTCTCATTCTTTTTGATTTGATCTTCTAAGTTTTACTAACAATCCATTTCATTCAACTGCTCCTGTAATATGTGGTGGCAGTTTCTTTAATCCATAACTTCATGTGATTTTTAAATCACGGCTGTTTTTAAAAAACTAACCAAACTAAAAAATTCCACTATTAAACAACAACCCAGGCTTCCTTAGAGAGGTGGCCCATGCCGCGAGGCAGTGTTTAAGAGGTATTTGGGCAATGCCCTTAACAACATGGTTTAACTCTTGCTCAGCCCTGAAGTGGTCAGGCAGTTGAACTGGATGATCACTGCAGACCAAACTGAAATAGTTGATTTTTTCTGATCATCAGTGAGCAGCACTCAAAAGAGCACAGCCATAGTCTTGAAAGCAGAGGTGTCTTTTAAGACAGAAACAACATAGATGGACTGCAAATCAAATGATGCAGAGTTCACATGAACATATTAAAAAAGGTTTGTCTTCAAAACCAGTTGCAAAAGTACTTTTTATTTCACTTGGTATATATCTATGGAAGCACTTAAAAGCTTAGAAGGAATTACACTAATACATTTTTAAGCGAAGAACATTTATCATTCCCCCTGTTTTCACACTATCTCTATGAAACCTTCAGAAAAGATTAAAAAGTTTTTAACCAGAGGATAAAAATATTCTTTTTCAGGTATATAAAAGAAATTTTCCGCTCAGCTTTAAAAACATTGATTTTAATATAGACTGCTTTTATTTCTGAACACAACATAAAAGGGTTATGCCATTCACATATACATCAAGTATTACAATTCATCATTGCACAATTTCTCAAATCATACCAAGTTGCAAAAACGATGCACACAATTTGGAACAAAATAAATATTTGCCCACAACCCCTCACTTTTGTACACAACCCTCTTCCATGGAGTTTTTTGAATCTCCATATATAAGGATGGAGCTGAGATCAGTTTTAATTCTGAAACGCTTGGAAACCAAGAGAGCAATCACTGAAAGAACAAAAGGCTGTACAATAAAAAATCCACCAGAATATCCATGATGGAAGGTAGCAGGGCCCCCTGAACTGCTACTTGTGACTGAAAGAGTAGAATGGTAAGTGTCTAGCCTTGAGAGACAAAACATGAACCCCATCTTCAAGTGTCTGAGCTACTGATGCCACTGAAGTGGGAAAAAGCCTTAAAACACAGAAATCAGAAGACAAAAAGGATTCCAAATGAGTTTATTTCAAAACCTTACTAGAATTAAAGACTTTCAAAAAAACTGCACACCAACAAGAGTAAAATTTACTTCTATAAAACCACTTCAAGCAGGAATTATGTAACACAACTTCAAAAACTGCTCAGCTGTTTTGAGCTTTTTTAAAATTCACATGAGCTTTTGCTACTACATACACAAGTTGTGTCAAAAACTCCATTTCCCGACTAGTAGCAAATGACATACATACAGAAAACTATTTTTACAGATACTTCATACACCACATTGCAAAGAAAAGAAACATTTTAAATCAAACTGTATATGGGAAGACTGAAAAAATATCACATTCTTAATTATTAGTTCAGCCTTCAAATGGATATGACACAGCTGAGCAATGTATGAGCTCACTACCAGATGATCCAACCCCCCACCCTCCCCTGTCACAGCTCCTAGCACACAGTCCTGCACCACTGCTGCTACTGATGCTCATCAGTGGCACAGGAACTTAATGGCTCAGCACAAAACCAATCACTCTGCTGCTCCATCAGTGAGCTGGCACACAGCACTGTCACAGAGGAACTAAAGCATACAGACCACCGGGAGCAGGACACAAAGGGTGTAGCTGTAGGAAGGGGCATTTAACCCTTTAGATGTGGCAGAAATAAGACACAGCTACATGGTCCCTCTCAGGATAGGAAAGAGAGACAAGTTTATTCTAAAACACACTGCTTAAGTACAGTCTCCTGAATCTCCAAAGACAGGACGAAGCTGACTGGTGCAGAGAGAGTGACACTTCTTTCTCATGCTTCTCACACGTACCCAACAGGTGTTTATCTTTGTTATTAATTCTTCTCTTATATTTACGTTAGATAAAGTGGCTAGCTTTGGGAAAGAACCCTGGCTAAGCCTGAGAAACTCGAGCTGGGGAAAACTCTCACAAGAGGTTTTTTCTGGGCCCATGGCCACAAAGGGGTACTAGCACCCACCCCTCCTTAGGAAGCAAACCACCTGGTCTGCTTAGCTACCCTGTCCCCCACACCTTCTCCATCCACCTCAGCACTCAACAAAACTGAATTTTTACATCTTTAAAGAAGTCCCACCACCTCACTCAACAGTACATTTATGAGATAGGATCAATTTCTTAGCAAACCTTAATAGAAATTTTTATAACCTGAACACTTGAACTTTTAAATTAAACAAAGA